TTATTGCAGTAAAATGTCGAATATTAAGTTAAATCAAGGAATTAGATCAAAAAGGATCTTGAGTCTACTGAAGTATGAGGATAAAACCAACAATAACAAATGGTATGGATGGTAAAATTTTGTTTCGTACTTGCTAGATAATTCTTATTATTGTAGTAAATATTAATTATTTTAAGTTCTTATTATTGTATTAAATATTTATTATTTTTAATTACAGGTACTTTTAAAGAGAACATTAACTCTGCTGGACCGTCAGCAACGGCACAGAATAGTACATATTTTGATCCCCCGATACAACAGATCGTACTTGAAAAATTTGAGCGCGATCTTTTGGAAAAACAACACGCTTTTAAAATTACGTTTAATACTCCAAAATATTTATGATTGAGTGACTTAACTTATGATACTCAAACGTGTTCTATTAAAAAGCCCATCTGCTCCAACAGTGAGTGCAGTATTAGATTCTACAAGTGAAAGATTTGATATTTTTTGTATATGTCCTTTAATTGTAACTGACTTTAATAATATAGATAATGATGGCTCCTTGGTTGAAAACATAAACGAAAATTTGATGATTTAACGAGAGACTTGTGAGACAAGTGAAGATGAGCACGGAAATTTTGACGAAAGCCGAAAACGTCGTCACCTAGCGAAGCAAGATGAATGGAAGAAACTTAAAGCTCAACAAAAAAGGTTGGGTTGAGAAGAATATTTAGGATAAAATCAGACAAGACCAGCAAAGCAAATGAGAGTGAGACTTGTATTTCAGATTTTTGTAGAAAAAGTAAATTAAGAGGTTGCAATAGTTTTGACGAAGAGACGCGCAAATCGTTCCATACCTACTTTTGGAAAAAAAAAAGTGGGATGAAAGAAAAATTTGTATCAAAGGACCTGTGAACCGTACCACGACTACTCGAAAAACTAAAGGCGACGAACATTCCCGTCGATAGGGCACTTTAAGTTATTTTTTACCTAAAAATACTAATGAAAGAATACAAGTCTCCAAAAAGATGTTTTTAAATACTTTGACATTGAAGCCTACTACTATTCAGATTTGGGTCAAAACAAATAAATTTCAACTCTATTTAAGAGAATAATCGCTCGAGTGAAAGCAGAATAAGACAAAATACATTTTTTTTGTCTTAAATGATTATTTGAAAATAATTCCAAAAATGCCTTCACATTATGCAAGAAAAGAAACCCGAAATTTGTACTTAGAGCCTATTCACCGTACTCTGACTGATCTATTCAACGCATATAAACGACACTGCAGAGAAATCGATACCCTTCCATCGATGCTGTATCTAGATACATGTTCGATTAAACTTTTCATAAAAAAAAATTTGCATTACATACCCTCAAAAAAGATATGTGCGATATTTGTGTTGGGCACCAGGAAGGTAATATAAATGAGCACAGTTATCAATAACAGTTATCACATAATAAAGAAAAATAGAGTCATGGAGGAAAAATCGAAAGACAAACAAGAAGCAGCATTAGGACACTGTATTGTACTTACAATGGACTTGGAATCGGTTAAAGTCTGCCCTTAGCTTTAGTATATAACATAATTAATAGGTGTAATTTCGTATGCCCGTAAGCTAGACAAACTGAAAGAGGCACTACAAACTAGCCAAGAACACATGGAAAAGCTTTCCTACGCTAGTGTAGCGGCCAGTCAGCCAGTCAAGCAAGTACCGAAACAGACTGTGCTTCACTCGGTTATCGTCACGTCCACAGACGAGACCGAGACTGGGGAGGTCATAGACCACATTAGGAAGGCGGTCAACGCCAAAGAAGGTTGGATTACCGTCAACAGAATCCGTAAGGCTAAAGACCGGAAGGTGGTGCTCGGGTGTAAGACAGAGCAAGCTAGAGAAAGGCTGAAAGAAAGACTGGCAAATGTAGGAGAACAACTGAAGGTGGAAGACGTCAAAAATAAAGATCCTCTAGTTATATTGAAGGACGTCCTAAGTTATAATACTGACGAGGATATCCACAAAGCTCTAAAGAACCAGAATAGTGACCTGTTCGAAGGGCTCAAGCAAGAAGAAAATCGAGTAGAGGTACTTTTTAAGAAGAAGATAAGAAATCCTCATAGAGTGTCCCCGAAGTTATGGAACAGACTGCAGAATTGAAAAGCCGTCCATATAGACCTATAAAGGATAAGAGTTGAAGATCAAACTCCACTTGTCCAGTGTTCCTTGTGTCTAGGATTCGGACACGGAAGACGGCTCTGTAAAGAGCAAATTAAAAAATGCAGTCACTGCGGGGTCCCTCACTTGATGTCTCAGTGCGCTGACTGGATGGCAGGAGCACCCCATCATGCTGCAACTGTACGCTAGCAAAGTTGGAACATACTGAGCACAACGCGTTCAGTGAAGAGTGCTCAGTTAGAAAAAGATGGCAGGTGATAGCAAGAGCCAAGATAGCGTACTGCTAAGGACAAGACTGGCAACATGGCAGGCATCCAACCAGAGGATATGCAGTAGCCCAAGCCAACCTACAGAGAAAGGAACTGGCGAGCGCTGAACTCTTTTTAGAGGCCAGTGAGCGAGCAATCGCATGGGCACTGGTCCAGGAGCCGTATGTGAGGGGGGCTAGAAGTATGAAGAGCTACCGTGGTGCGAGAGTCTACCAGTGCGAGATCGAAGGAAGCAGGAGGGTAAAGGCGCCAATAGTCGTCTTTGACCTTGATGTCATCCGCTACCCAGAACTCACCACAAATAACATCGTTGTGGTGGAGATCCGGACAAAAGCCTGGGAAAAGCCGTGAATAGTGTCGCACGCAAGCATGTACATCATTTGCCTGACGTTAAGCGAACGAGGAGGATCTTCTAGTAAATATGACGTTGGAATTTCTCAAAAACTGTCCTATATAAAGGTCAAACAAGAGGAATCAAGTATACAAAAACAAAATTACGATAAGATCTTAAGGTTTTGAAACAAAAACTTAAAAGGCGCGAAATAAAGATTGCAAATATAAAGTCGATTTGAGATTTATTAAAGAAAAAATGCGAAATTTTAATGATACTCGCACCCGATACGCGCAGACCATATGTGTTGCCCGCATATAAAAACAGTCCGCGATCGTGCCGCATTTATTCTCGGCAGACTCTATCCCATGATCTGTAAGCGGAGTAAAATGTCCCTTCGGAACAAGGTGACACTTTACAAAACTTGCATAAGGCCCGTCATGACTTACGCGAGTGTAGTGTTCGCTCACGCGGCCCGCACACACATAGACACCCTCCAATCCCTACAATCCCGCTTTTGCAGGTTAACTGTCGGGGCTCCGTGGTTCGTGAGGAACGTCGACCTACACGACGACCTGGGCCTCGAATCGATCCGCAAACACATGAAGTCAGTGTCGGAACGTTACTTCGATAAGGCTATGCGTCATGATAATCACCTTATCGTTGCTGCCGCTGACTACTCCCCGAATCCTGATCACGCAGGAGCAAGTCACCGTCGTCGCCCTAGACACGTCCTTACGGATCCATCAGATCCAATAACTCTTGCATTAGATACCTTCAGCTCTAACACTAGGAGCAGGCTGAGGAACCCCGGTAACCGTACGCGTCGAACTCGACAAAGAGGTCGACGTGCAACNACGGATCCATCAGATCCAATAACTCTTGCATTAGATACCTTCAGCTCTAACACTAGGAGCAGGCTGAGGAACCCCGGTAACCGTACGCGTCGAACTCGACAAAGAGGTCGACGTGCAGCCTAACCCATGCATCAGCCCGCTGAGTTTCTCGCCGGATCTTCTCAGTGGGTCGCGATTCCGATCCGGTAGTAGATTCATTCGCGAAGCTCTTGAGTTGTTAGGTCTCCTTCGGAAGCGCTCGGGCAGTTGTTAGCAAATCCCACCCCTCCTGGCTGAGCCTTTGCTCGCCCACCTGTCTTGGTGAAGCTGGAAAGGCCTCCGGGCCACCAGTAATCTTTCAATCATAAAAAAAAAAAAAAAAAAAAAAAAAAACCATATGTGTTGCAGTGTCTCACTCAGTGTGTCAAATTTTATTTGCTTTTAACTGTGCACGGCCCACTTAGCCGTTTGCCACTCAAATTCAAATTCATGAAAATTCAAACCTAATTATACTAACTGTGGTAAGCTTAGGCCACTTTTGCGCTGACAGCCTCAATTATTCGAATGAGATTAGGTCATGTGTGCACAGTTGTGCATTTGGCCACGTTTAATATAATTGATTCAGATTTGTGTGCTTGTGGGGATGTTGGTGATCTTAATCATATTTTCTTTGCCTGCCCTTTGAATGACATTTTCTCCTTTAGCAATCATCTCGCCTCCATCCGTGTTCCATTTCCTACTTCTATCAAATCTCTTCTTTCATGTTCTAATTCTGATATATATACAGCTTTATCAATTTTCCTGATAAATAATAATTTGAAATTATAAATCCTTATATCTATACTATCATAGTTATCCCATCTGATCCTTTTCCAATTCCTTAAGTAATGTCCATTTAAACCGTGATAAACGTTTCCCTGCTTTTGTCAGTGGCATATGCGAAAACAGCGCGATGCCAAAAAAAAAAAAAAAATTAAAAGGTTCGTTTCCCTCATCTGACCATTTCTATATCCTTCAGGTTATGGGCCCAGATTGCCCAGAGTGAGAACAGTGCATAAAAGAACAAAAACAAAATGAATAACTAAGCAGAAAATATAGAAAAACTTACGAACTCTGAAAATTTCCACATCTGGAAATTTGAGATAGGCGCAACACATATAGGCGCAAATATCACGTTTCACCTACTTATTATAAAAATAATAATAATGGAATGTGATGGTCTGATCATCTAATCATCAATTAATTACTCTTTGTTTATTACGATGAGAAATTGGTGTTAAACAGTATGTCACTATCCTTTTTATTGTAATTTCAATACTTTAAACGTGTAAACACGCGCACGTGTACCAAGCCCTATAAATACGGCCGTGCTGTCTAGCGCTGTTCCCCGTTCCCCTCTGCAGCCATAATGAGTATGCAGAGGCTTCTGGACTTACTGCCCCAGTGGCTGGACCGTTGGAAAGTCGCGGTCAACGTGGGTAAGACTGCGGCGCTCCTCCACGGTCCGGTCCGTATCAGAGTCGTCCCCAAGAAGCTCAATCTCCGAGGTGTGAATATCGAGTTTAAGCCGAAGTTCCGGTATCTCGGGTGCGACATCGACCGCTCGCTGAGCATGGCAGCGCACGCCAGCCAAATCATCGGTTCGGCGAGCGCGGCCAGGTTTATGCTGCGGCCGGTGTTACCAGAACTAAGCTCGCTATTTACAAGACATATGTCCGCTCCCACCTCACATACGCTACTGCGGCCTGGTACCAACTATTGTCGCCGTCCCAGCGATTTAGGTTACAGGCCCAGCAGAATCTTTCCCTTCGTAATATCGTCGGGGCCGGGCGGTACGTCAGAAATGACGTTTTCGCCCGGGACCTAGATGTGGAGTCGCTCATGGAGTTTGTGATTAGGCTCTCACGTAACATGTACGAGCGAGCTGAAAACAGCCCCCATGAGCACCTCCACAACATAGGCCCGCTGCACGCCAGACCACCTGATGGTAAGGCCCTGCCGCGGGAGATATTAGTACCCCCGACGATCGTTCGGAGTTAAAGATCCTCATCGGCTGTGAGGCCGGAGAGGACCTATGAGTGTCCCCTCGGGATGGGTGTCACCTGTGTTCCCACAAACTGTTAGCCGGTCTGGCGGGTTCCCCTTCAGTGGCCTGCACTATCGCTCCCCGGTAAGGAGCGTTAAGCCCGCCCCTTCACGTAAAGGAGGGTGCCAATTACAGCCCCACCAAGGGGCCTGACGCCGAGATGCAGCCCTTTCCTCCCACCCCCGTGGAATGTACGGAACTGTGGGGGATAGGGCTCCATCGAGGCGAAAAATCAAGTGGTCTACCCTCACTTTTAGGGTGGAGTCCCCCCTGTTCCCGGGGGTTGTCTCTTCCTCTCGCCCGGGGGCCGGAATGCAGTCTCCCCACCCAGCAAGCGCGAGTGCGACGCCATCGACGTTGGGAGCCGGATTGGGCCTCCGCCGCAATCTTTGCCGCGGAGACTCAACTGGATTGATCGGCCTTCCTCCTATGTAATGTTATGTCCATTTAAAAAAAAATCTAATTCAATCTCAGAGCAATTGTTTTGACAATTGCTCTTCGATGATTGTTCCAATGAATTTTCGTTCGCTCCTTTTGTTGTTTTTGTTGTGCTTTTGTTTTTGTTTTGCTCTGTTAATGTTTTTAAAGTTTAGGCTATTGTTATTGCCATATTTGGCATGTGAGTGTCTTGGAAGGCTGATTTCACCTTCTTCAATCCGATCTTCAATTGTCTTTGCCATTGGTTTCTCTATCGGTTTCTTTTTCACTATCATCTTCTAAAAGCCCTATATCTCTGCCACCATTAATTTTATATTTTTGTTTTCTCTTTACTTTAACGTTTAATGATTTTGTCTCAATGCTGATTTCTTTGTCGCCTACTTTGTCTGATGAAATATTGCCGCTTACCATGGAACTTGACGCTGACAAATCTAAATCTGCATAGCCACTGTCTTCACTTACACTCTTACCGGCTTGTAGATTGATTTTCTGTTTTTTCATAATATATTTTATGTTTCCAGTACTTTCCTTGCCATAGCGCATTTCCGAGAGTAATTTTAATACTTTTTCTTCGATCGCTTTTTTTTCGTCTTCTATGCTAGTTTCATTTCTGATATTGTTACCAGGTAACTTTTCCAGTACCTTTTCTTTGTTTAATGGACTGATTCTCGTTTTAGCAAAGCCAGCTATTATGTTATTTTTTTGGTATTTTTCAATACGTTGAGAAAGCTTTTTCAAAAGTTGAGGAAAGCAATTCTTAGGCACACTCGACTGTGAACGTCCATCAGATTTTTTCCAATGGAAGAGGATGTCGCGCCAAGCGGTCTTCATTGGCCTAAAGAAGGCAACGTCTAGTGGCTGAGTCAGGTGGGTAGAGTTCGCTGGAAGGAATACAAAGTATATATCCTTTTCTTTACATTTGCAAATCAAATTTATAGAAAGATGTGAAGAAAGATTATCTCCTATCAACATTTTTTTGCCTGGTTTATCTTCAAAGTACGGAAGTGCCACACTATCGACCCAGTCTTCAAAAGCATTACTGTCGAACCAACTTGAAGTTGTTCGGTTGTAGCGCCACTTATCCATTTTTTGTCCAAGTATCATATAGGTGAACAGCTTTATACACGACGTAACTTGATAAAGCGTACCATCGGCCGCTGTAGTAATCATGATTGATGTAGACGACGTTGAGTGGGTTCATCACCCGCTCTGGGTACCTAACACCTATTTTTGTCAAGATCTTTTTTTTTGCCCAGGTCGTCAGATTCGTCTCATCGTAATTAACGATATTTCCTAGAGGCACGCCAATCATAGAAATCTCTAATTGCTTAAAATATTCTTCTATGACTTCGGGAGAAACGGCGGCTCTTGCTCTTTTTATGTTTTGGCTTATTCTTTTAGAAACTACTTCTTTATGTCTTCTTAGGAAACTCGACGAAGTCAGGACCTGGCATATTGTCCTTAAACCTCTTCACTTCAATGCCAATTCTATCGAGATACCCCTTGATTAACAATCTAAAATCATATGTGTCGAGTGAGTATCCCCACTCCGAACATATATTAATGTATTGTATGATATAATCTTCAGTTTCTGTTTTCAATGCTTTAGGTGCACCACGTATAAGTATATATATATATATATATATATATATACTATACGTGTATATAGACGCTTATTTTTCAGATATGCCACGGACATACAAACCCAGTACGAAACCATATAAAAAATATAATTCAAAAACCATACGGGCTGCGATAGCGGAATACGAAACTAAAAAAGTATCAATGAAAGAAGTAGCACAAAAATTCTGTATAAGTAAATCTGTGTTACACAGACACATCTCAAAAGTCATGAGGCCACATATATATATAAGATTATTAGCTAATGTTATTTTGTTCAAATAAAAACTTCAATGTGTTGCTCTGAAATAACAAAGAAACGACATTTAAAGTTTATTTTATATCTTGTAGCTATCTAAATAGAAATTATTTTTTATAAAATTTTACACAATGACATATTGTTTTTCTGTCAAGGCTTTTCGACTTTACAACACATGCGCGGACGTTCCGGCACATGTCGACAGCGCATGCGTGACATAATTCAAATTAAATAATCAAATTAAAGAAAGGAACAAGACTTTCTTTACATATATATAAGGCTGGGGAAAAGTTTCTTCGCATTTTTTAAGAAAATACACAATATTTTTTAATATAATTTATTTACATTTAAGTAAAGTATGTAGGTACCATTTTGTTCGATAACTTTTTGCCATCTTGTAGGTAGGGACATGATTCCATTGCTATAGAAATTTTGGGGTTTCTGATCAAAATACCGCGACAATTGGTTTTGGCAATCCTCTCGAGATGTTAACCTGACACTGCCAAAACAATTCTGAAGAGACCGAAACAGGTAAAAATCGGAAGGTGCAAGGTCAGGACTATACGGCGGATGCATTAACACCTCCCAGCCAAGCTCTCTTAATATTTGCTGAGTGGCTAAAGATGTGTCAGTTCTAGCGTTATCATGATGGAAAACCACACTCCTTCTGTTGATAAATCCGGCCGCTTTCTCTCAACTTCTTTCTTTAATCTCATCAGTTGTTCGCAGTAGAGTTCATAATCGATGGTCCTGCCTGGTGGTAACAGCTCATAATAATGCCCTTCCAATCCCATCACACACACAGCATCACCTTGTTGCGAGTTAACCCGGGTTTCGCCAGTCTGTGAAGCCTGACCGGCCTTTGACCACAACCTTTTTCGCACGTTCTTGTCGTACGTGATCCACTTTTCATCACCAGTTATCAGCTTCTTCAAAAATGGTTCGGTTTCATTACGTCGTAATAAAGAATCACAAATGCGTACGCGGTCCATGAGGTTTCTTTCAGTGAGCTCGTGAGGTACCCAAATATCGAGCTTTTTTGTGTACCCAGTTTTTTTCAAATGCGCCAAAACAGTTTTGTGATCAATTCCCAGTTCTTCAGCTACGTCGCAACTACTGATATGCCGATCTTGCTCCACTTTTTCAAAAATGGCATCCATTTTATCCGTAACAGGGCGACCAGAGCGACGTGCATCTTTGACATCCAAATTTCCGGATTGAAAACGCTTAAACCACATTTACTAGGTCCATAAACATCGCAATTTTTTTTCGCGGCTTGCGTTGCATTTTTACCTTTTTTGTAGTAAAATTTTAAAACGTATTGAATTTCTTCATTAGATTCATTCATCTTGACAGTACGAAAAATAAATAAAAATGAGACATTTTCCTAACGTGAATTTGGAATTATCTTCTTTAAAATTTAAACTTTTAATGATACAAAAACCAGCCATATATAAATAATATAGCCAAAGAAATTTTATTACAAGTGAATACATACTATAATGCGAAAAGACTTTTTCCCCAACCTGTTATTTATATAATATAGCTAAGATGATTTTTCCTTTCTCTCTAAGGATTCTCTCTAATGTACAGGCTTCAGTGAAACACGAAGCAAAAAAGCAGTCGCTTTTGGATTTAGGATATTATTTCTATATGTACGTGTGGGATGTGGCTTTGTTACATTTAAAATCTGAGGCCTGTATTTATCTGTGTGTGTGTTATGAATGTTAAAAAAAATCATGATTCGACGCGTGAATAGATTCTGAAATAACAAAAGTTTTGATTCGTTTGAGTTCTTTTTAATTTTTTATATTTTTTTATTGCTATAAAGGACATACGATCGGGCAGATATTACAAGGTGAATGTCGCGTAAAAAAAAAGTAATTATATTATATATACCTTTCTTTTACCTATAATACTTAGATAAACTAACTAATAAACACATTAACCTTCTTTACATCACGCAGTTGAGTGATAGTATAGGCTAAAAAATCTATTATAAGATATCAGTGACAACCCTAACAAGCCATCCCTATTTTGTCTTTTCGCGTTCCAATTTTGTGTTTTCTCGTCCTTAATTTTTCCAGTCTCGTTCCAAATTACCCCACATACTTCCCTTTTTTCCCCAAAAAGGAAAACTGTACATTTTTTATTTTGTCGAAATATTGTATTTAAAATAAGAATATTGCAACTTACCGTTTGTTGTGGTATTTCCAGGTGTGTTAAAAACTTATATAAACTGTGATCTTATTGAAAAAACAACGATAATATTACTTTTTTTAAAAGTTCTTTAACCTGTTTTATCAACCACTATTTTCAATTTAATTTGACGAATTTTTGGGACCAACTTAACTCATATTTAGTGCTTCCATAGTTAACTTGGTTTTTCTTCTATACATTGATTACTATTACCATAAACAAAATTAGGTAGACTCCGTGCTACAGGTACTTTGAGAATCTTCCGCAGTTTTGTCCCAATTTACCCCAGAATCCCTATTTACCCCATTTGATGGTATTGAACTCCATAGATAGAAAACTAAAAGGTCACATTGTAAATTGCAAAAATTCACATGAAATGTACAATAAGCTATGTGTAGTATTTGAAGGACCTGAAAAAAGAAACAAGTCTTCCTTATT